ATCATGACCTGAGCCGAAGGCAGACGCTTAACGACTGAGCCACCCAGGCGCCCCAAATTAGATAGATCTTAATAGTGTTAAGGAATTGATGGATCCCTAAAATGAACACTTCTCAATGGGAGTCCTATTGGTTATTCTGTGACAACCCAGGAATATCCCTACATGAGATATTATCTCATGTCTCTTTTCATGTCTCTACTTGAAGTTCTAATCATAATGCTTTATTAGAATTTGATATAAACCCCCTAAAATTGGACGTGGGGTATAAAGATGAACCCAGAAACTTCTGCATTATTCTTCAAATTAAAAAAAGCAAGGATGAAGAATGGATCAGTCTTAATCAAAGTTACAGACTTAACATTATACCATAACTAACCAACAAAAGTAATTGGATATCTAAATAAAATAAAATTTTTCTATATGGAAGCCTATTAAAAACAACAACAACAACAAAGGGGTGCCTGGGTGGCTCATTCAGTTAAGCTTCTAACTCTTGCTTTCAGCTCAGGTCATGATTTCAGGGTCTTGAGATATAGCCCCCTGTCAAACTCTGTACTCCGCCAGGAGTCTGCTTGAGATCCTCTCTCTCTCCCTCTCCTTCTGTTTCGCCCCCCCCATACTTCCTCTCAAATAAATAAATCTTAACATAAAATTCAGGCATCAAATTTTTTTTTAATTTTTCATAAGTTTCCATGTAGAGAATGGAGATAACCTGTAGTAAGGACCCTCTTGTGCTGTGAAATGCCTGAAAAAGCATTTCTTTATGTAATGATGAATAATTATAGTCAGCACTTTTAAGCAGGATAATTAAAGTTTGGGAACCTACCTGGCAAAAGTTCATTTGGTGTAACTTCCAAAGCCAGCTGCTGAATGTGCATGTACAAGCAATATTTATTTATGTAAGATATAATCTGGGATGTGGCTCATCAGAATTTTTAAGACCTAGATTTTTGTTCTGGTATCACACATTATATATTTACTCATGTAAAATCATAAGTCTACCAAAAGATGGCAGATTTGTGCTTCACAAGTTTCTGTTACAATATGAAAATAAATGATTATGGTCATTTCTACCTTTTTACTACTGTATGTAGCACTTTCTATTCTCCATTAGAATACGATATTTTTACACAGAAAAAAAAAAGTATGCTGAGGTTTTATGAAACTGACAGCCTTTTTTGTTGTTATCGTTTACCATTTTGGAAAAATAGTCTTTCTGTGTATTGGCTTCTTTAATTTGAGTTGCTCTTAAATGGTTTTCTTCAAATGACCATGAATAAAACTGCTTTTTAAAATCTCATTATTTAATCTTATTTTAAAAATCTGAGAAACGTGAACCAGAAAACTACTTTCCTTAATTTTTTTAAAAACAATCTGAGCTTGCTGAAAGAGATCCTTTCTTTCCATAGGCAAATTTGGCCAAATTCAGCTCCCACTGCTGAAACATGGACCTTTTTGCTCCAAACTGAAGGGTTCTTTCATAAGGAAATCTAAGCACTTAGTATTTTGAATAGTGGTTTATTCAAAAAGAACTTGATGGACTCAACAAAGTATCTCAAATTCTTGTTTGTCTACCTCTCCCCATGGTAAACCCCTGAACATCAAGTGTAAATTATTTGGTCTAGTTATCTGAAATTAAGAAACATGAAGTTAAAAGCAGCTATTTGGAAACAAGTTTGTTGTTTCTGTCATGATTTGGTAAGTATAACTGGCTAATGGAAACTGGATGGTTTAAAAGATGAATTCTTTGGGGGAAGAAGTGAGCCTCTCCACTGTAAATCAGTCATTGTAAAAGAAGTAGTGTTCAGTAAATGACGGCCACCTAACTTCTATTCTAGAAAACTGAAAAGAGCATTTCTTTTCAACAGTGAGACACATAAATTAAAAGCTCCTAAAATATTTGAAATTGTGTGTTTTTAAATGTGCTGTTTAATACATGTAGTTTATAGAAAGGAGAGTTTTTCCCAGAAATACTCAAAATGGAATTTATGCAGAATTAGCAATATAGCACTATTGGCTTCCAAGGCTCTTGATTACAGAATTACCTTTGAAAAATGCATTAAAAGCATTTTGTCCCTAATAGCTGCTATTTGATTTACTACTTGAGCATACTTTACAAAAAGAGAAAAAGGAAGATTTACATAACCTCAAAATAGGTCCACTTCAGCTTTTGATATTTATGCCTGAACATACATAATTATTAACACTATAAAGAGACTACCAAGAATAGACTTCCAAATACTAGATACATATACCAAAAGTATTCTCATATGAGGACTGTTTTTTTGAAACCTGTTAACATTTTTGCAGAGTCATTCCAAGGACCAGAAACAATTTGATAATGGCATATCAAGAATTAACACATAGTCTGAATTTATTGCTTTTTGGGCATTCAAAACAGCTGAGATTGTTAAAGAAGAGAGTGTGCAGTACTGTAGAAGAACAGGGAGGATCAGAATCCAACCTATTTTAGCTGTATTTCTGACATCCCTCTCAATAAATCATTTACTTTCCGTTCTCTATCAGTAATAATAATATGTAACATGTAACATATTACATTTTTTAAATGCTCAGGTTTACTAATTGCTTGATAGGGGTCCTCATCTCAATTGCTTAATAGTTTTATCCCGATTTTATAGTTGAGAAAACCAGAGAGGGTAAGCAATTTGCCCTAAGTTAAGCAAAATGCCCTTGCCACAGCTGGTGAGTGGCATTGCTGGAATTCAGATCTGCGTCTCTGCCTCTAGAGTCTGTCTCTCTATTGCTTCTCATAAATGTTTGTGATTTTTCTAACCTACCTTCAAGGGAATGATGTGAAGGAAGATAAGATAATGTATGAGAATGTACTTTAGATTTCACATAGTATGTAATTTTCAAAGTATGTATAATGATGTTTCCACGTGGGTGAGATCTTAATCATGTTCAATGTTTAATTTTCAAAGCTTCATTTAAAGGACAAAAAGCGATTTGAGAAAGCAAACCAAGATGCAGGTCCTGGTTTGAATCTTGAAGAATTTATTGCTTTTGAGCATCCTGAAGAAGTTGATTATATGATGGTAAGGAAGAAGAGTTTTAAGAGAGTTCTTGAGTGACCAAAACTTTAAAACCTGTTTTTTTCTAAGTCATTAAAATGAATTGTATGGGGCAACTGGAATTTTAAGAGACAGCAAGATCCAAAGTTCTCCCCACTTAAGATAGGGGTGGGAAAGGGTTTCTGGTGGTGGGGGGAGGGGTGCTGATGAGAAGGTAGAAGGTAAATCTCCATCATATGGAGGGAGAAGGTAAATCTCCCATCATATGGAGGGAGAAGGTAAATCTTCCTGGCTGTTTTGTCCTGCACAGCCACATTCCCTTCATTGCCTTCCTTTTTGTAGCTTTCAGACTTTTCTCTGTTTTCCAATATCAGTAACATCAGTATTTCCTGTTTAGTTTACAACATCACTTGCAAAAACTTTGGCTCTGGGAAAACTTACCACCTTTGGATCCCTTTTCATAGGGTTTTAGGGGGTGATGAAGCTGCTACTGACTAATGTGTTTATAGCAAGAGGCATAATGAGTCTTCTCATCCTTTAGTACTTAAAAGAAGTACCAGTTCTTCAGAACTTTTGTTGAACTCTACATTTAACTCAACAAACATTGATTGAGTCCCTACTATGACTTGGCAAGCTTCTTGAGAAGAGAAACTATCATGTTGGAGAGTAAAGACTAATACAACAAATAGCTTTGTAGAAAATAGACTAAGTATTTATATTAAGGTTTATTGTCTAGCCTCAGCCTCTAGCTGTGTGGCTTGGTTCTCTGGATATTTCAGGGAGGGAAGATACAGCTTTATGTTAAATGGGTCATGGTTAGAAGCTGCTGCCTTTGAATAACAAGGGTGCAAATAACATTTTTCTCCATAGCTCAGTGGCAAGACACGACTGTTGCCACCACTTTTGCCATTGAGGCTTCTGGTTTCTCACTTGGTACAAAATACACAACCTAATTTTAGAACAGTGCAGAGCACAATTTGTTCAAGTGCCAAAATTAAGTTGAGACAAGCTAATTGCACCCTACCTAGCATGGCAGGCAGAGCATGATGGATACTGATTATCTGGGGAATTAAGGAATAATTGACTTGAAGACTGGGGAGGGGAATGACCAGTGAAAGCAATGAAATAATTTGGGCATACCGTGCTGCAGTCCGAGAGTGTGATGTGGCAATGGCATGAAATGGACGTGAACATCGTTTTGAAGGAAGCACAAGCAGGAATGTTGACTGACTAAATAAGTATGAGAAGAGAAAGGAAGAGTCAGAGATGACTCTGAGATTTTAAGCTTGTGTAAAATGATTAAAATGGTAGTACATTTGACAGAATGGGGTGTGTCAGGATGGGAAAGGATGTTCTTTGATTGTGCCGAGTTGGAGTTGATTGTAGCACATAAGAGGTGTGATCATAAAGTGGTGTCTCATTTAGAGCAGCTTCATTAATTCGTATTTACCTTAATTTGTTTTGGTGTATCACTTTTTCCATTTAAGGATATATTTGATAAAGGAAAAGGCAGGGTGCAAGATCAACTAGGTGATTTTGATTTGGATTAAAAGTTAGAATTTAGAGAAACTTTCATTCATAAAGTTCCAAAATTTATTTTAACCATGGCAACATTATTGAAATAAGTCTGTTGTTTCCCAAGAGGATAACTTGAATGGAAGAATAGTCATTTTAATCAGGGATTCTTAACTTATCTTGCATCAAGACTCCTTTAAAAATAAAGAGCAGTCGGGGCACCTGGGTGACTCAGTAGGTTAAGCATCCGACTCTTGATTATGGCTCAGGTCATAATCTCAGGGTTGTGAGATCAAGCACAGCGCCCGGCTCACACTGGGTGTGAAGCCTGCTGAAGAGTCTCCCTGTCTCCCTCCCCCCACACCCCTCCCTCTTCGCAGTCGCGTGTGTGCGCACGTGCACTAGTGCTCTCTCACACAAAAATAATAAATAAAAATAAGCAATCTATGGACTCTGTCCCAGAAAAATCACATATACTCATATACACAAAATATGGGATAATAATTTCAGGAGATCCTCAGATTCTCTAAAAGTAATCTTTGGATCTCTGGTTAAGATCCTGATTTCTATATGTAAAATCTGTAACATTTGATTTTTTAAAAAGTAACAACTTGTATTTAAGTGTTATTTCATACAAATATAAAGGAAGCCCTTGGGTTTGGCTAGAATTGGAGACTTTTGAGAATATATTTTCGTTACAGTTGTGTTGCTAGAATCCAGGCTGAAAGGTATTTGGGTGGCAGCAGGTAGTGAGGAAATGAGAATAATAAACGTAACCTATAAGAGACCTGGCATGGGAGAAAAGAAACCAGGATGGTAATTAAAGCGTGCAGGGGACTTGAATGTGTTTAAAGGCATAGAAGAAGGAGCTAACAGAGAAGAGAGTGGAGCCTTAGGAGAGGCCAGAGCTAAAAGTGAAAGAAAGCACTCAGGAAATGAGAAAGGATGGGATCTAGGAAGACTTGAGGGCTTCACTCTAGAGAAGGGGGAAAGATAACTTTAATTCCTGAGATTGAAGGAAAGGATGAGAGGAATAGGCATAAAAATAGAGGTAATTAAAGGGGAGAATGCAATGCTGGTAAACAGGCATTTCAGAAGCCTTGTACCTTGTTTGGAAAAATGGGTGGGTCTTTGCCAAGAGAGTATTTGGAGAGTATTTCGGTAAGACTCAAAGTGGAGTTTTCAAAAAACAGCTTTAGAGTATGTGTTAGGGAAACTGAGGCAGAGACAGACTTCCAAGCTGCAGTGAGAGCCCACTGAAACGGGAAAAAATTATAAGGATTAGGTTTATATTTCTGTTTCTCTTTCTTTTAGACTTTATGATTCTGAAATAAAGGAGAACGTGATGTGGGTGTGCTGTGCAGGGTGGAGACTGGCAAAGTAAGAAAAGGTAGAAGATATAGGAAGGTAACAAGGGAAGAACCGAAATAGCTGGCCATTAAACAGGTCATCTTGGGTCCCGTATAACTAGAAATCGTGTAATCTTGGGGTTAGAGAGGACTGGTTGATAAGCCATGATAAGAAAGAGGAACAGATTTGGGGCAGTTTGGGGTGGATGGGGTAGATTTGATGGAAGAGGAAGCAGGGAGGTGTAGGTTTATGGGGCCTGGCACCTTTGCTTTAGATCTGGAGGCAGAAAAACAGTTCTGGGCAGAGGGATCCAAGATAAGGGTTCTTTTGGGGTGGTTAATGGACTGGAGGGAAAGTGGAGTTAAGGAAGACCAGGGTAGTAAGAGGTGTCCTTTTGGAGAAGGAGGGAAACATGCAGAAAATAGGAGTTTGAGTTTAGTGCCGAGGTTGTTTAGGAGGGCAAAGCAGAGTTCTTCTCGCTAGTAGAAGCTTAAAGATGTTGAATTTAAAGCTACTCAGTACGTGTGGTTTTATTCCTGTCTCTGAATTCCACTGTTTAGAAAGACAGTTTGCAAGAATGGACAACAAAAATGATTATTCCTAAAGAAGTTCTATACTGGAATAGATTCAGGTGGTGGTGGGAAAATTTTGTGACTAATTGTTTTATTTTGGTTTTTTATGAACATGCAACAGGAATTTGTCATTCAAGAGGCTTTAGAAGAACATGACAAAAATGGTGATGGATTTGTTAGTTTGGAAGAATTTCTTGGTGACTATAGGCGAGATCCAAGTAAGTACCCTGGGTGTGTGGAAGGAGGGAAAAAAGCATGGAATTAAAGAAGAAAGGAATTGAGAGACAGTCTTGCTCATTGAGAGCTGTGTTTGACAGAGGAAAATGGAACAAGAAAGAGGTGCGCCTGATTTTTGCTTGTTCTGCCAAGTTAGATATAATACAAGCAAAACAGAAGGACTCAGCCTACGTGAGAACGTGGTCTCGCTCACTTTTAGTTCCATGTCTGGATTCAAAGATTTTTCTTCCTTTTCAAACAAATAATGTCATTCTCAATTCAAATGGGCGAGAAAGTAAAGGTTGATATTTTTAAACAAAATCCTGTACCTTTGCATGTAGATCTTAAAAGAGAAACAAAATACTATAAATACGGGTGTAAAAGGTGTCTTACTGAGTGTTTGAAATTTGAGGAGTTTGCATATGCAGCTTTTTCTATTCACGGCTGTCTTTTCAGACAGAATTATTGCTGAAAAGCATCACTTCCTGTGAATTTCACTTTAAAATTACACATGGTATTACTTGCTAAGCACATGTAGGAAGCTTTATATAGTCACACGATGTACATAAAAACATTACCCAGCTCAACTGTGGGAAAACTAGATACCAGAACAAGTAGCAGCAGTTAACAGACTTACTAGTTTGTGATAATACACATCGATCTAGAAACTCTGAGCCGTTTAAACTTAAGTGTCACTTTGGAAAATCATATAGTGTGTACTTATGTCAGGACTTTTCAGATAAGTAGATCTGTTTCATTGGGCTTCCTTTATGTAGTAAGCTTTAAGTTCATTTCCTTTATTCTAGGGAGTACCAAACTTCTTATTGGATACATGTTACATTCTTGTGATATTTATTGTTTTATTTTTGCCATTAAGCAGCAAATGAAGATCCAGAGTGGATACTGGTTGAGAAGGATAGATTCCTGAATGATTATGACAAAGATACTGATGGCAGGCTTGACCCCCAAGAGCTGTTGTCTTGGGTAGTACCCAATAATCAGGGCATTGCACAAGAAGAGGTGAGTGTTACAAAGTGACTATATACCCCTTTTTTCTCCCCCAAATTAGGTGCTAGTGATAGGAAAGGAAGTTCAAAGCCTTAAGCTGAAGAGAGAAGTACTAGAGTTGTTTGTCTAGGATCCGTGCATTGCTATTTCTTGACTGAAATCTGTGAGCTGTTTTAGATTATCAGGGAGACAAGGAAGTTAAGATTATATCATGTATTAATTTGACCACACAGTGAATTGAACAATTAAAGTTTATAATTTACCTATAGGGGCCCAAAATGGGTTATATTAATTTGGTTTAACCTTGAGATATCCTAAATAGGAGTTGAGTAGGGAGGAGGCAGAACCTAGCAGAAATTAAGAAGGAGGATAATGAGAAAAGCGTAGACAGCCCTGGTTATAATATATAGTATTTTGAGATACTCAGACAGTAATGAGTACTTGGCATACCTGAATGATTTTGACAAATCAAATCACATCGAAACGTGAACATCTTACTGAAAATACTTATTATACTTGATTTATTTTGTTTTGTTTTAAAGGCTCTTCACCTAATTGATGAAATGGATTTGAATAGTGACAGAAAGCTCTCGGAAGCAGAGATTCTGGAGAACCAGGACTTGTTTCTTACCAGTGAAGCTACAGATTATGGCAGACAGCTTCATGATGAATATTTCTATCATGATGAGCTTTAATCCCTGGGTAGATCTAAATAGGATACTGTCTTCTTTTATAATTTGTTACCAGCTTTACTTTTGTGATAAAATATTGATGTTATATTTTACACTCAAGTCTTACCACAGTCAAAATGATCTTAAATGTAGATTGTAATTTTGGCCTTTTAGAAGAAAAATGAAACAAAACCTGGTATTTATTTCAGAATGTATTGAAGAAATAAAACAATATTATGCCATATGACAACAAAATCTTTCCTAAATATTCCATCTGTTTAGTACTGTATTGTGGGATATTTGAGTTCTATTTCCATACTTGAAAAAATGGAGGATTTTAGAGATGCCTGAACAATATTATTTAAATAGTATGTGACTGAGCTATCAATTTTTCTTTTGTTTTAAGTAGATTTAACTTGGGAACTGACAGAAAGGACATTGTTTTTAGATTTAGCATTTTGTTTTAAAACCTTTAAAGGAACCTTTAGAAGGACTTATACCTCACATTTTAATGTTGAGAAGTTCTGCTTACTTTTAAAATGGTTTCTATAAAGGGTTTTATTGTATGAAATAGAACTTTATATTTTTGCATATGTATAGATAGTAATTATATTTAATGTGTAACTATAGCATTATGGTGTGTGGAATTTGACATTGTCCAGAACTCTTCATTTTTGACTGATTAAAAATGAAATGTCCTATCTTTTTATATGTTTGTTTTTCTTTGATCTCCCAGATAAACCTAAAATTTAGAATAGGTTTTGTTGAATTACACATTATCTTACCTTATCCATTCCTATATTTGGGTAGTGAGTGTTCTCCAACCTTGAATTATTCTTGCTGCATATTATTTTGGTTTTTTTTTTCCTTTTTGATAAAAGAATCATGTTACAATTGAATGTATACCTGACATATTTCAGTTGCTGTTGTAACAAATGTGGTTTTGCTGTTTGGTGCTAGAAATAATCATAAGAATTACACAGGCTGGGGGCGCTCAGTTGGTTGAGCATCTGCCTTCGGCTCAGGTCATAATCTCAGGGTCCTGGGTTCAAGCCCCATGTCAGACTCACCGCCCCACAGGGAGTCTGCTTCTCCCTCTCTGTCTGTCCCTCCCCCACCCCGCTCATGCTCTCTCTTCTCTCAAATAAATAAATAAAATATTTTTTAAAAATTACACAGGTTGAAATCAGCAGTAGAGCTGGTTAGTTATCAGTGGTAGAGCTCAGTATCTGTTATACTAAAAGTAAAATCATACTTGGTAAGTGTTTATCTATACCTAAATGGTCAGTTTTAACCTTATTCTGGAGATGAATTTATTTACCTTTGGGGGGAATAAGAAAAGTAAGAAGGTGAGGAATTTGAGTTTTCCTTGCCCTTACACCCAGTTTTTCTTTCTTTTTTAAAAAATTACTTTTATTTGTGGGGGAAGAGGTCAGCTACGTATTCTGTTAATCTTTTCCCAGACTAAAGTCGTGTCCTCTATGGCACACAGCATTCTAGGGGCTTCACGAGGCCTTAATGAATACTTGGGAAAACCTGAAGCTCTTTTCTGATAGAATTGACAGCATCTGCCTCCCTCTCTCCCGTCCTCATCTTTGCTGATGTGAATTATGAATGCAAGTTGTAAACTTTTATACCATACTGATAGCTCGCTTAACTTGGTATCTAAAGTACAAGGTTTTCATTTCAACCTACAACACCTACCTGGTCACAGCAGTTTAAGAATTAAAGATATACCATTATCACTCACTCATTACTTGTCAGCCTTACTGAAATTGGGATATTTGGAATAACTAGTTTGCTTAGCATGATAACTATTTGTTTTTATTACTAGATTCTTCAAAATCTATACCAGAATTATTAGATAATTAGATACGGATTTTATTTTCATCTTAATGAGTTAAGAATTAGCATTCTACATTAAGCCTTGATATCATGCAGATATAAGAATTTTGGTGACATTAGAAGAACATCTGTTCTTTCATTCCTGGCAAGAAGAAAATTACATTTTCTAGCCCCCTTATAGATAGACAATAGCTACTTCTGACCAGTTAAAAATGAGTGGCAGTAGTGTGTGTCACTCCCAGACTGGGCCAGTGACAAACCCATTTTCTTTGCCATGGCATTGTAGAGAAGGCCTCAGTTGACACGGTGGGTCTGCAAGATCCCAGAGGCCTTGATTTCTGAGTGACCACATGGAGGTCAGCTGGACCCTCTGGACTTTGCATGACCAAAAAATAAACTTTTACTATGTTAAGCTGCTGAGATTGTGCGTGCGTGTGTGTGTGTGTGTAAAGCCACTGAGATTTGGAGGAAGGGGAGGTGTATAACCACAGCAGAGCTTAGCTTATCCTGAGTGAAGATGTAGTATTAAACAGTTGGCTCTTATAAACATACAGAGAAAAAGAATTGCTTGAAAAGAGTTTCTGTATTTTCTGCTAAGTCAAACTAGAAAAATTTATTTTTAAGGCTTTTTTTGGATTTTAATTTTAATAAACCTTAAAAATAAAATTGCTTTTTATTTTTATTTTGATAGGAGAATTTAAATTTATCCTTATAACATGAGAGTAAAAATAGAATGTGGCTTTCTGAATTGTTGGCTGATCCTAGCTAAAGGACATAATCACTTCCATTGTTTGACTGCAGGTACTACTTCACAATGGAAAAGTGGACGGGATTTGTACAAATCAATGCATATATGGTTCTGATTGGACAAATTTGCAGGATAGAAAATGACTGTCTAGTTTGTGACAATTTAAAGGAAGCCAGGACACTCAGGGTAAAAGCCATGATGCCATATTTGCCTTACTTTTTTCCATTGCAGTTTTTTTAAAAAAAATACGCTTTATTTTTTAGAGCATGTACAGGTCCATAGCAAAATTGAGCAAAACATATAATGACTTTCCATATACTTTCTGCTCTCCACATGTGCACAGCCTTCCCGCTCCCAAAATCCTGTACCAGAGTTGGTATTTGTTACAATCAATGAACATACATTGACACATTATTACCCCAAGACCAAAGACCATAGTTTACATTGGGGTTTACTCTTGGTGTTGCACATTCTGTGGGTTTGGACAAATAAATAATGACAGGTATCCACCATTATAGTATCGTACAGCGTAGTTTCATTGCCCTAAAAATCATCTATGCTCTGCCTACTAACCCTGCCCATCCCTAACCCCTAGCGACCACTGAATTTACTGTCTCTAGTTTTGCCTTTTCTAGAATGTCATATAGTTGGAATCATACAATATGTAGCCTTTTCAGATTCCTTTACAGGTTTAAATGTAAGGAAAAAAAATTGTGCTGTTGTTTCTCTAAGGTTTTTGTGTAACAATATTTCCTTCTAAGTGAGAAATTTCTACTTAAGCTATGAAATCTTTTCCACTTGGGAAAATGATTTAAGAAAGGCAACTAGAGTTAAATTTTTGTTGTTTTGAGAGAGCGAGAAAGAGTGGAGGTGAGGGGGAGAGGGAGAGAGAGACTCCCAAGCAGACTCCACGCCCAGAATGGAGCCCGACCTGGGGCCTGATCTCTCAATCCTGAGATCATGACTTGAGCTAAAATCAAGAGTTGGACGCTCAACCAACTGAGCCACCCAGGAGCCCCTGGAATTAAGTTTTTGATAGAAATATAACAACTAATTTGCTTCACTTCAACACTGAGTTTCTGTGGAATAAATATTTGGCTAGATTTCCTGGCTGCTATAAATTTTTCTACGACTGGTATCAGTTGAGAGTATCTCAACTACTTAAGGGCCTCCAGAGAAGCTACCAAAATACAAAATATCTCAATTTTATTTGGAAAAAAAGACTCAATCCAAGCACAAAGAAAAACAATTACCTAAAGTTTGCTATATCTTCATTGCAAATTAACCAAAGACAGAGAGTTCATGAGGTATAGAAAGGAAACTATTTGAGTTTATAAAACTATTTAAAAATGGTTAAAGGGATTTTTAGAAATCACATAGCCTTTAATCTTGGTTTTACATCTCTTAAAAAATAAAACCCTAATTAGTTCTCTGTTCTTCAAAGATATTTTTCTTCTCTTTTGAGACCAGGTTCCAGTGAACAAAAGGCATCACTGTTCTGCTCTCTTGTACATTAGCAGTGTTTGCAAAGTAACGCAGGTAAAGAGGCCATCCCATTACAAGGATACACTGAAATCATAAACAAGGGTCTTTTTGGTGCCAGCTGCTGGACTATCGGAATTGATTTTTTGTCATCTGCAACAGTGACATCATACAAGTGATTGATTTTCTAAGAGTACACTAATGAAAAACTTGATCACATTTAATTGTGGACTACCTTCATGGCAGTCAGGAAAGGGAAGCTGGGCTAAGCTGAGACAGCTGTGATGAAGCTATTGATAAGTTATTTTACCTGCCAGTTACACAGCAATGTAGTCAGTCTGTCCTCTTTCAGCCCTTCCACATTATAGACTACAACACCTCAGCAAAGCCCCCCTAACCCCCCAACAACCCACCAAAGCAAAACAACAATTAACAGATGCTTAGAGAAGGCAAGAGATGAGGATGGTTTGTATTAATGCTACTCTCCTCCTAGACTTAAAGACCTGGTATTTACTAAATTTATGTGTGGCAAAAAGAAAAAGCACAACAGTTTATTTAGAAATCAATGTATTATCTTACAGTTTAAAAAAATGGAATGTAGGCTTTTTGAGGGCTGTAGCTGTATCTTCTTTACCATCATGTGTCGAGTATGTGATTAGCACATAGTAGATATCTACTGAATGAATTTACTAATGGTACAAGATGAGAGAGCAGACATAATATCAGTTGGTTTCAATGGCTGTGTTTTTTGTTTTTTGTTTTTTTTAATGTCTCTTAACCTGTTCTTGCCTTGGGGTCTCTATGTTCTTTATCTCTTTGGATATTTAAATATTTAACATAGATATGTTAAAGTATCTTTGAAATGATTCTGTTAGTTCTAGTTATATTCCCATTTGTTAGTCAACTGACTCTCCCTCGTTGTGGTTTGCAAATTGGGGCTGAATTCACATTTAGTGAGAGTTGTTTTCATGGGAATCTGGTATGTCCAACATTGTGGAAGTGTCCTTTGTTAAACCCCATCGTTTTATCTGTTCTAGACAGGTTTCTGTGTTAAATTTCTCAGCCTAAAGTTTCCATACTTCACAATAGAGTGAATTTAGACCTCCCATATATCTGCACAGGTACAGTTTTGGATCTCAATTTCTTATGTACCCATGATTGACAGATACTACACTTCCTTTCTCCATTTTAGATCAGTGAGTGGTGTTTTTTCTAGTCTCCATCTCAAAGAGATCTTCCTTCCTTCATGGTCCTGGCCAGATTCCTCCTTTGTTTTTATTCCTTCTTTGTTTCTAGCACCTGGAAATTTCTCTTTCTCACTCTTGTACTCTGATCTATATTCTTAAATGTTTTAGATTGTATTTTATCCAGGATTTCCATATGTTTGGAGCAGGATTTCAGTCAGCCATAATTACTAGAAGCCTTAGTGTTAATTTATATAGAAAGAGAGCTGGAGATGTTATGTGGCCACAAACTGGTAGCATCTAATAATGCAAAAATAATGCAGTCTTACATGCTTTTAAAATGAAAATGCTATGTGCTGATTATGAGAAAATTCCCACTGCTAGTTAGATCTCATTTGCATTTTGTTCCTGAGACTTAGCCATGAGGTCAGAGCAAACCAGAGGCCAGTT